CATCACCTATGATTAGATGGCCAATGCCTCCTCCCAGTAAGTTTGCATATTGCTAACTAAAGAGCAAGATTATCTAATTTGAATATCTAATTATACTACTAAAATTTTGTATTTTAGTCTTTTTCATCTATTTTGTTAATTCTATATCAATTTTTTTAATTCATTATCATCAGAATTAATTTGTTTTATTTCCACTAAAGTCAAATTTATTAATCCATTTCATTTTGTTATTCTCAGGGAAATTCCTCCCCTATATTCTTTTTTAATTTTTTATTGTACGATTGATAAGTATTAATAATACTGATATATATTTATCGAATATATTATAAATGTAGAGATGAATATATATTGATAATAGAAATTATAGTCTATAATTTATTAAAGATTGAAATACAATATTTACAAAAATTAACATTTTGTTAATGGTTAATATAATAGTTAATATATAAGTTAAAATTGGTATAATATATAAGTTAAAATTGGTATAATGCAAATAAAATTTTACAGGATTTATCAACAACAATAGAGGACAAAGAGGAGCACATTATCCACGCTGATTGATGTTTATAATATTTTAGAATATAATATCTAATTAATGATTAAATTTTAGTTGTAATTATAATTAAATATTGGTTTTATTCTTTACTTTGTACTTAAATAACATTCTTTATACATCTTTTACTTTATTTGATGTAAAATAAAGAATGTTCTTTTACTATTTTAGCAAATAATTTTAATAAAAAGGGAAACAAATTTTTTAATGAAGCCTGGTTTTTTTATACTCCCTATCTTTAGTATGCACGTCTTAATAGTAAGCACACCAACGAAGGAGGGTGAAGGGAGAATACAGAGAGCAGCAAAAAGAAACAACATAACCTGAAAAGAATAGATCAGCTGGCAAGTGATAAAGTATTTTTAATCGTATTTTAAAGCGAGTGGAATATAATAACATATAGTGCGTGTAATGAGCAATAAAAACACGTTCTAATAAAAATGGTGATTCTGTTTGCACGGTAAAGATTTAAGTAACAATTACACATTAAGTTACAAATCAGGGTGGATATTAAATTTCCAAAAAGATGAGGGCTATATTGATATTCGATCACCTGAATGATGTGATATTCGTAAAGTACAATAAAAAATTTACGTGCCATATCCTCAAGTTGGCGAGGATGCAAGGGCTGTTGGATGATGATAAGGTAGTTTGATAAAATAATAATAAATTTTGAATACAATCTCTTAGAGATATGTAGATTCTTCTAGATACTTAAGAAGAAAAATAAAATATTAATGCAAAATTTAGATAGGAACAGAAAATTCATGTGACTTGATATTTATTGTATTTTATTGATATGTAATTTGGAATATTTCTTATAGGATATCACAGACTTAGAAACTTCTATACCCAGTCCTAATATTATAATGCAGCTGTTTTCACCCATTGTTACCTCCCAGCATGTGATGGCTTCGCAATTTGGAAATTCCTATACCTCTATGAA